ACCCCCCCCCCCCCACCCCGCCCCAAATATCAGATTCCGGAACTTTCCCGAGGACGCGGAAAGAGGCGAGCACCTCTTGCGTAAGGGGTACGAGGCGCAGATGGAGCGGCTAGGCGTGCTAGTGGAAGACGGTGGCCTCGTGGTGGACCTCGGGTGTGGGTCGGGCACTAGCACCAGGTACGTCTTGACTGATACTGCGGGCTATGGGTTCTAGCCAGCGTTCGGGTAGCCTTTTGGTAGCGGAGGGGAGAACGCGGTCTGTGTCGCAAGAGGGGCGGGCCACCCCGACGGTAGTTGGGGTGCTTGCAGTCCGCGATGCGTTTCTTGCCTCTCATTGTTGCTGAAGGGGAGAGCATGAACTATCTCCTCGTCCCGCTTTTGCCCATGCCATCATCCTCTCCTCTTCCTCATGGACGTGAAAGTGTCTAGCTCCGCTCGATGTGCCGTCCGAATGACTTGAGCACATTACCTTGACCTCGGCGTGGACACTTGCAGTGTTCCTACCGGTCGTGTTTGGCACTGCTGTAGCGGTTATACGATGGCGCCGGTTGATGGTTGTCCCTGATCGTGCAAACTGTTCTCTTCGACAACGCGTCTGCGCTGCGCTGCCGAGCAGGTACCTGGCAGAGCAGTTTCCCTCCGCGGGTAAGGTGGTGGGGGTCGACCTCTCTCCGTACATGCTGCTGACCGGGCGATTCATGCAGCAGGAGGACGAGGTCCGTTTTTTCATTCTTGGCTTGTTTCGTTCGGGAACTGTTGCGGAATGCCCGCGTTTTTGATTTCGTGCGGTGGTTCGCGAGGCAAGTGGTGGTGTTCACGTCTTGTCCTTGGCACGAGGATGGCGACGTTTTGGGTAGTTGTCGAATGGTGTATCCAGGTGTCATGCATCGGTGCCGTCTCTGGGCGCTATTCGCAATACCCCCACCGAGGTCGCACGAGCTTGTTTCCATTTGCCTCGTGCCTTGCTTGGAACAACCAACCTTGGGTGGGCGCAGAACGCTGACCCTCGCGTGGAGCTGGAATACGGAGACGCGGCTAGGACTGGGTTGGAGGACAACAGCGCTTCTCTCGTTTCCTTGTCTCTGGTGGTACACGAGCTGTCGACCGAGGGAAGGAGATCGGTGAGCAGTCGTCGATCACGTGGTGGAGTAGTGGTGCAATTTTGACAGCTTGGTATGATCACCTCCAGGTCGTCGGCAAAACTATGGAGTACGTACATGTTGACAACGGTATGAATCTAAGTGGCGTACTCGGCATGAATCGCCACTCAAGTTGACGCGACTGCCGTGATCACTTGCTACACATTGTCCACCGAACCAATAGCCTTGGAAAGGTACCTGCATCGTGCTTGACCGGACGATCCAACGTTGTTCCAATAAAGTGGAGCAGCTGCAGTGCCGTAAACTTATCTCCGTCGGGACACAGCGGTACTTGACATTGCCGTTGGCCGAACACCGACCTCCACCATGGCAACAACATGCGCCCTACAAAGCTGCCTGAATGAGGGAATGGTGCATCCTCGATGGGGCGGTGGTCCGCCCAAGCTGTAACCGTTTTGGTGTTGTAGTGACAAGCACGGCGTTTCGTACGTAGGTCCCAAGCAACATGACGATGCTTCCCTCATCGCCCCCTGCACGTCTCGCCAGATTCTAGCGGAGGCTTTCAGAATCCTCCGTCCGGGCGGGAGCGTTTCCATCATGGAAATGGATCCCTCGGCCCCGGGCTACATTAAGCTCAGGAACAACCCGGTAAGTGAAGCGGCATTCATGCATACTGCGGCAGAAACACTTTGCTTTGTTTGTTCTCCTATTACAGCAAGGTTGAGTCAGCGCCAGGGATTGGCTCGCGAAGGGAGGAAGGATGCTTCAGACGATAGCTTGTCCGCCTCGAAAGCCCATCGTTTTCAGGCGAACAGCCCCCCTAGCCGGTAGGACCTTCGGGGGCCGCAAGGTTGTTTTCACTGTGAATCTAGTGTGAAGTGGATAGGGATTTTGCTGTTATCTTCAAACAAGAGGTTTCCCATGGCGATCATTTCCACGAGTTTGCACTGATGCAAGTGGCAAGGATTTTCCCATGGGAGTGTTTCGTACCGGTTGGGGTGGTTACCTCGCTGAACTGGTGTTTATACACTCATTCCCATGTTAACTTGTAGTGGACGCGTCGCTTGCTGTATTATCCGGGATGTTTTTTGCCAACATGTTGTCTCGCACGGGCGGTTTACATTATTTCGAGGTCGAAGTCCAAAATCCTCCGTTCATTCGGCTCTGCTCTGTCCCCATCTGTGCTTCTCAGATGCTGTTTTCCATATTGAGGAGCACGGAGCCCTACCTAGACGTTTATTTCTCGGAGGCAGGCAACATTGACGCCGAACTGCAAGAAGCGGGCTTCGCCACGGTACGCCAGTCGCCCCGAATATCCCTATGCCGTTGGCCGCCATTTGCGTTGCCACTCACTGCTGTGTTTCCAGCCCATTCGATGCGGTCGATGCGGTCGATGCGGTCGATGCGGTCATAAGGATCGACTTTTTTCGAACAAACGGGTTTTCGTGGTGTGTAGAACATGGGGGTGGGGGGCATGGGTGGCGCTGAGACACGGGGTCCCCATATCATCCACCCTCGCCCCCTGAGGCTGGCGTGTAACGCGCGTTGATGATGCTGTCGTCAGCAGGGGCCGGACGACCGCCGTGATGCGGTTGGTTCAGTAGCTTGGCGAAAATATGTAACGGTACAGCAGCACGCTTGCCGTCGCCCGGCGATGTTGCGACGCCTCGTCCGTGCAATGAGTGCACTGACGTTGTCACGACTGCTCTTTGAGCATCACGATGATGACTTCCCGATCCGAGAACGTTTTGTTGACCTTCTGCGGCGGTTGCGCGCGCGTGCGTCAGGTGCGAAAATCCGGGGTGACTGGGCGGCATATGGCGGTAGTCGGCGTCAAGGGAGGGACGTTTGACTTGCGGGCCGACTTCAAGCAAAGGGAGAAGGACGACACTCACCTACAGACGCACAGGGCCGACGTTTGGGTGAAGACCCGTTGAGTCAGTCCTTCCAGGTGTTGTGAAGGGTACTGTAGTCAGGGCTCCTGTAGTCAGGGCTCCTGCGTGGCAATCAAGTATGGTTGGGAAAGCTTGTTGGATACGAAAGCTGGCAATTGGTTTGCCTTTGAAAATTTTGGTAGCAGGGACTTCCACGAGACGGGTGTGAGTTGTTGCCTGGGAGTGTGGGCAGCGATTTATTGTGGGGACGTTGTACAGTCGTCGTCGAAAGTCGAATTGCGGGGCGGATCCACGATCGATCGTCTCGCTTGGTGACGTTTCTGCTCCAAGCTTCGCACTTCATGTTTCACGCCTCTCAATGTAGCGGTCCACGTTTATGTTGGAGGTTGCCGCCTTTCGTTTTGTATTTTGTACGGTTCAGAGATACTGTACCAATGAGAAGGGATGTTCTGGTGTATGCACCACTGTCGTCCGGTTGATTACCTTACATCACAGACAGCCGACGGGCGTGAGGTCTCCCTACAGTTACAGTGTATTTGGTCGCGACCGGCAGGGACTCGGAAACTGGTGTTGTCGGTGTGGTTATGATAACACAGGCCATGCGAACAACCATCTGATCCTAATTTTGCATGTGTGCAAACTGCCTTTTACGCAGGAGGGCATGTACGTTTGTTGCTTTCCTCGATGGGTAGAGATCATAGCCTTTCGGTGTGACCCGCTTAGGGATCATGGGCGGACCGAGTTGCACCTTGTGCGGGCAATGAAGCGACATGGTCGAGAGATACGCATATGCTTACATGACGCGCCACGGCAAGAAACTGTTAGGCTCCGTTGTAGTGTGCCTTGGGCTCGTTCTCTACCCCAACAGCGACGACGAAGCGATTATCGCCATGCCCCGCGCTCCGTCAATACTCGGCCTTTGGCGTGCGAACCAACTATTCATGCGTTAGGTGTGTGATCGCGATCAACGCAAGCTCGACGAAACTCACCACGCATTAAAAGCGTGTTTTGTTGGGAGTTTTTATGCCTAGTGTCTCTTGTGTATACCATGCGATGCCTCAATATGCACGCGTTCTTTCATTGGAGCGAAAGCTGCATCGAAACACGCCGGTAGCTCCAATCAATTCACAAAGCACATCGAAGTCCTCACGGACTGCCATACAAAGTATGTTGGGTCCATCTCGGAAAAGCATCACCCAACCATCCCTCTCATGCAGATACTAGGACAGGGTGTCACCACGGAGCTGCCTCAAATGTTGCCTGACACCACCCCCTCACACACCGAGATAGGTATATAGAGGAAGATACCGAAACATGTACCCTGCGTTCTCACGCCCATCGCTCCACAACGATGAAAGGCACAAACAAAGCCAACAGATACATAAGCACAATGGGCTACCCTCGAGTCCACACTTCGGTGGCTGTTTACATCATCACTGACGATAATTTCCTACAGCACTTACATTCGACAATTGACACACATGTACCGGTCACCAGAAACAGATGCCGGATGCGGCCCCCTGTCCCTTTTTCCACCAGAGAAGCTGGAACACAACAATCGTCTCTTTGGTAACATTCAAGGAGTACGAAGTCTTGACTACATTTTGTATCAATGGTGTTCCAATTTGGCTGGATAGCGCCCCGCCTCTATACCGCAGCCTCGGCGAAATATTATCATATCAAAGCCAACACCACCATCGAAGGAGCGGTTTCTCACCTTCACACACGTGAAGTCAGTACAATGGACACATAAAAACAGAATCGAGCTTAGCTACACCGTGAACTACATCTACGCCACGGGTCATCCCACGCCCCCCCTCCCCTGCACCCCACCCCGTGCGATTCTCTTGCCGAAGAAAAAGTCCACTCCACTCCCACCCCCATCCCCTTCTGTACGTCACCCCTGGCGATGCTTCAGAGGAACAGGGGAAACGAAAATTACCTTGGGTGGTCTGGGTGACAAAAGAAACGGCGTCACCTGCGATGGGTGTGCCGGAAGAGACCCAGTCACTCCACTCTGCTTGGCTATCGTGACAATATTAGTGTGACGCACAACACGGGTTTTCGCCGTATGGCCAAGGCGCCTGACTTGCCCTGCAACATATACAAATATCCCAAAGCTCTCCCGGCAAACCTCTACCAAAGCACGCATACCGCAGATACACGAACGTACATAGGTTGCCACCTTTACAGCACAAAAACACACATTTTATACTACGGTAACCTCACCTATCCACATTTCGAAACATTCCTCACACGAAAAAAATTAAACTCCCATTTTGACGCCCCTGGATGGGCTCGTGGTACTCATGTATGCCTCGCATGGACTACAGTTGTTCCCAGTGTACATGCGACACTGGCTGCATCCCCTGCAGGAAGCGTAGAATCACTCCCCCGCCCTTGTCACGTGCTTCTTGGCGCTGCTGCCCAGGAGCGTCTTGGACTACCAGTGTTGTCTCCTCCAGTCCGAGGTATTCCTCTACGTCGCTCATGCCGCTGCTTCCAGTACCTTCGCTGCCGCCGCTGTCGCTGCTGCTGCTGCTTATGCTGCTGCTGCTGCTATCGACCTCCGTGTGCCTGTCCCTGTCGCTGCTGGTGGCGGCGTCTCTGCTGCTCAAGGCCGAAGCCTCGTTCCTCTCCATCCTGCCCGCCCGGATGCGTTCTGCTCTCTCCGTCATGCCGCGAGCTATCTCTGCGCCCCTTTCTCTAGCAGCAGCCTCGGCGTTCATGCGAAGGCGCCAGTTCTCGGAGCTGAGCTCAGAGAGCTGACCCTGGAGGTTAAAGACGACGAAACACACCACCAGCACAAGTACAATGATGTGCAATTAGCACTCCCAACCATGAAGTAACGTCCAACAAAAGTTCGTCGAACAAGAATCACGACAGGATTGTACCGGTGAGCCGTGTCGAGCTAAAGGAATACCACAAATAACGCACGCATCGCCGTCGCCGGCCTCGACGCCAACCAAGAACAACAGTCATCGGAAATCCAGGCATACGGGGAATCCATTATAGGGCTGGAAAACATACTTTTAACTCCCGTACATCACCGACAACTCAAGCTGGGAAGGGGTGCCGCCATGATGCAAGTTCACGAGTAGGTATGCATGAACGCTGGTGATGTCATCCATGGCGGTCATGCCCTTCAGTAAAAAAAATCCAAATTGACCGTGGATAATGCCGTCCCCGCATCGCATTTCATTTATCCACTGAACGACGGGCTTTGCGATTGATGACGACTGGTCACGACGTGAATATTTGCCGGTGAAACCCACTCGGAGAGACATCTGGGGGATGGTCATTCCAGGTAGGATATACGTCAAAAGTACGATGTGCCACTCGTTCAAGACAGAGTCGATAAGTGGTGGAGGCAACGACCATAGGACGTAAGAGAACCAACAAGAGCCGGGTGGGCCATGAAGTTGTCGCACGTGCAAGTCGGCCGTATACCCGTGCGTTCATGTTCACATTTCCAGGCCTGCAGCAAGGCAACGCGATGCTGCCGCTACGTTACTAGCAGCCCCCGTTTTCCCAGGAACCAATTCTAAAGGACACGACTGAGCAAGCAACATCGCTCTCATGCGGGAACTCTTTCCACAATCCTCCTTCCTTGAAAGTTGGGCATTCTGAGCCCACCGCCAACGCCACAAGGACACAACCACCTACCTGGCAAGAGCGGGTGCAATTTATACATCTCAGCGAGTGTTCCGTCCCAAGCCTGGCTGCTGCTGTCTGTTCCTACCTTCATTTGGTCGAGCTCCGCCTGTAGCACCGCCGCCAACGCCTCGGCGGCGACTGCGCGAGCCGCATCTCCATCACCCATCTCCTCGTTGGTGCTCCGACCCTCCTCCACTGCTGCCCCACGAACCCTACCCTCACCAACGTCACCAGGCACCCTTCTGCTGTCGTCTTCACTGCCCTCCCGGCTCCCTGTGGTTGCTGCATGATCTCCAATATCACCAACCGCGACACCCCCTCCAGCACCACCGTCGTCACCATCATCAACTGCTCCGCCGTCGGCGACGGCTGCTGCCGCTTCGACATGACCACCATCGACCGCCACACCCACTTCAGCAGCACCTGGACGACCTGTAGCGTGATCGTCACCATCACCATCTCCGACATCACCGGCAACATCAACCGCCACACCCTCTTCAGCACCTGAGAGACCTCCAGCATGATCGTCACCATCACCATCACCATCACCATCAGCCCCTGCTGCTGCTGCTGCTGCTGCTGCACCACCTTCGATATGACCAGCACCATCGACTGCCACACCCTCTTCAGCATCTGATACACCTCCAGCGTAATCGTCACCATCACCATCGCCATCATCACCCGCAGCTGTCGCTGCACCATTTCCGGCATCACCAGCATCACCAACCTCCGTCACCTCTTTGGCATCACCGTCGTTACCATCAACTGGTCCACCTCCGGCGACGGCTGCTGCTGCAGCATTTTCGACATGACCACCATCATCGACCGCCACACCCTCTTCAGCACCTGAATCACCTCCAGCGTAATCGTCACCATCACCATCACCATCATCACCCACCGCTGCTGCTGCACCATCTTCGGCGCGACCAGTATCACCAACATCCGCAACCTCTTCAGCACCCGAACGACTTCCAGAGTAATCGCAACCACCATCACCATCACCATCACCAGCCGTCTCTCTTCCTCTTCCTCCGCCCGCTTTGCTCCCCTCGCCTGTTTCTCGATCACCAACCGCCACGAGCTCTTCGGCAGCCGCCGCACAAGCCTCTGATGTATCATCGACACCATCGCCTGCTTCATCCAAAACGCCCGCTGGAGGAACTCCGCTCTCATCACCACCCACCGGCCCTTGTCGGTACTCCGCGCTGCTCCCATCACCACCCTGGACTGCTGTTGCTCGATCTCCGACATCATCATCAACCGTCACACCCTCTTCGACAGCAGTACTATTATTATATATAATAGCACGAACTGCAACACCGCCGTAACCATCAGATGCTCCGCCCTGCGCACTGGATCCATCAACTCCAACGTCACGATCGTCGACAGCCCCAACAACGCCCTCCGTTGTGCCCTCTCTCTCTCGATCCTCCTCAGATGCGTCTTCTCCTTCCGCTGCTGCGCCATCCGACATTGTCTTCGCGCTGGAGCTATCAGCACGGTTGGTACTGTCAGCACGGTCGCCTTCAGCTCCACCCGACTCCGCCGCGTCACCACCAGAACCCGCCGATTCCGTTGATGATCCAAGCGACTCCGTCGACGTATCCGCGACCGTGATGGGGATGTCCGGCAGGTCGCCGTCGCTACTGAGGGGTGTTGGTGCAGCTGCGGGTGCAGCTGCGGGTGCAGCTGCCGTCGCCCCCGCCTCCGCCTCCCCCTCCCTCTCGAAAACGGGGCCGGGCGGGGCCCAGGCTGGGATGATGAGCCCCATCTCGGGCGGTTCCGTGGACCGTTCCGCGGACCGTTGCGCGTCACCCCCTCTCGCGCTTTCTCCTTCCGCGGCGTGGAAAGCGTCTTCCAGAGACCGACACTGCCGTAGCCGAGAAAAGGATCCGTTGTTGTTTTGCCCGTACGGGCGTGGGGGGGAATGAGTGATGGAAGGACTTGGAACGGCTTGCTTCAGTGGAGACGCACGCGTCAATGGTAATCGGTAACTCTCTGTCCGCTCTGTACAGCAAGCCACGCGTTGGAGGCATGTAGAGGCTTTGACGGTTGTGCTCCATGGGGCCATGCATTCGTTGAGTTCGATGGAGGGTGAAATGGCTCGTCAAGCGCCTTTACGGGATGCTATTTTCCCCTAAATACGCGGCTCGCCCGCCAGGAAAATAAGAGATTCTGGGTTTTACAGAGAGCAACATATTGCCGGGGCGGCCTTCGTTTTCACCGAAATTCGCTCTTCCCCCAGACATTTACGCACGAGTCCTTTATTCCGCCCCCAGAGTGACAGCTAGGAGGACGATGTTCACTCCACTGCATCTGCCCAAAAAGAGCATGTGGCGTCAAGTCACTCACTTCGCACATCACACAGATTGCAACAAGGGGCAGCAATGATATCGTTTTGGCGTGGGATGCGAGGTGCATTCTTGAGCAAGGTGGGCGAGGGAGACACAACAACTAGTTCCCCGAAAGGAACTCAACAAGGGGCATTAGCATTGGAAGCAACTCAAGCGTGTGCATGCCGGGCAATTCCTCGGAGGCAACCACAAGCCAAACACGCGTCACCGCACACGCGTCGTTACGCGCGCATCACGCACGGGTGGAGAAAACAAAAAACATCGCCCACTGACCCGAACCTGTTTCTCGCTGAACTGAACAAAGAGCAGACGATCTGTGGACCGCACCTAACTCTCTGCGGTCACAAAAAAAAAAGGCCGGCACTCATACGAGATCCTGACACATATCACCACCCACCTTCCCAGCCGCGGCGCCCGCCGTGTGCCACTCCGAGCCCCGCTCGGAGGCGCTCATCCCGCTGAAGCTCCCGAAGCCCTTCGAGGCGAGGTAGGTCGGGCTACCCAGCCTCGGGGAGATGACCCCGGCGGTGTAGCGGCGGGGGGGCAACGAGTAGGAGGGGAGGGTCGAGGCTGCCGCGAGAGCGGCGGCGAGGGCGGCGGCCTCCTGCTGCTCAAGCTCGTCGACCCCCTTCTCGACAAACCTGTGTTGGGGTTAAGTTGGCGGTGTTTCGAGTTTTCTCGAGACGAAAAAAAAAGAGGAGCCGGAGCAGAAGCGCGCGTGGAATGTGTTGAATCAGCGAGTGACGCTTGCTATACTGTAGCCCCTACGATAAAAAAAAAGTTGTGTCGACACATGCACTATTGTACCACTTCTTGTCGGCCATGCAACACAAACTGTTTAAACAGCGTCCGGCGGTGGCGGGAACGCACAAAAACCCCAAAGTACTTCTTCAATCCCCCCGCCCACCCCTCAGCGCACCCGCGTTCTTGGTCTCCCTCTCCCTTGGAGGCCGCCGACGCCGCAGCAGCAGCCCTCGATCTCTCCGCCGCCGCCGCCGCCGCCGCCTCCGACGTCTTCGCCCGAGCCTCCAGCTGCCGCTGCCTGTCCATCTCTCCCTCGTCCTCCTCCTTCCTCTCCAAGTGCCCCCCAGTCTTCGCCGTCTCCGTCTCCGTCTCCGTCTCCATCTCCATCCCCACCGCAGTCATTCCGTCGTCGTCCTCCTCTCCCTTCGACGATCCCGAAAGCGACGCTTCTTCTTCGCCACCGTCGCCGCCGGAACTTGCATCCCCCCCGTCTTCCCCCATTCTCCCCTTCACCTCCTCCCATCCTTCCCGTTTCTCATCCTCGCTAGTCCCTGGTCTCCTGTCCCCCCCGAAAACGTCGCCGCCGGAACCTGCGCCCCCTCGTTCCTCCTCCTCCTCCTCCTGCACACCCCCCCTTTCTCCATCCCCGATACTCCCGGTAACCCCTCCCTCCCCGATCCCACGGCCGCCGGAACCTGCGCCCCCTCGTTCCTCCTCCCCCTCCTCCTCCTCCNCTTGTCCCTGCACTCCCGTCCCCCCCGAAAACGTCGCCTCCGGAACCTGCGCCCCCTCGTTCCTGCTCCTCCTCTTCCTCCTCCTCCCCACCTTCCGTTCCTTCATCCTCATAAATCCCGGCGCCCCCACCCTGCCCGATACCGTCGCCACCGGAATCTGCACCTCCCTCCTTCTCCTCCTCCTCCTCCTCCCCACCACGTTTCACTTCCTCGCTACCCTCCTCGCTACCCTCCTCGCTACCCTCCTCGCTACCCTCCTCGCTACCCTCACCGCCCCCACTGCGGGCTTCTTCGTCACGATCGACACCACCACCGACCCCTGCCGCCTTCGGCGCGGACATGGACGGCGACAACGACAGTGATGGCAGTGGTGATACCGAGCGTACTGCCGTCGACGCCCCAGATGCCGCGGCCGCGCTGGCGGCGCTCGAGTAGACGTTGACGCTGACGGCCCTGGACACGGCGAGGCTGACGTCTAGCCTCTCTTCTAGGTCCTGCGCGACGCCGAGGGCGGCCTGAACTTGACGGAGCTCGGCTCTCCGGACAGCCTGTGGAGGCGCGGCGGGGTTCGTCCTCAAAAACACGGGACGTGTGCAATAAATGTACAACGCATGAACCACGTGGCATCAACGCAGGAGCGAACTGCCCGGTGGTCGACATGAGACCATCAGCACTACCATCTACCATAGGTTCTCACCTGCCTGCGTGACACCTGTTCCACGTCTACATCGGGTGGGAAGGAGTAACGTTGGATGATGAGATAACGTTAACCGCTCTCGCTCGAAGCGACGCACACACGACGCTTCCAACGGTTGTCCCTGTTCCAAAAAACCTAGCGCCCTCACCCTGAGGACCTTGGGACTCTGGCTTCCGTCTACCCTCGAGGAGGTGGATGCCTGCTTCTGAAGTTCTTCCATGCGTGCCCTGGCACACGGTAGGTTTTGGTAAGAGGGTGGATGTGCGTGTGTACACGTACGATTAGCGCGACGACAGCAGTGAAGAGACCTGTGATCGCAAAAACAAAACGGCCTTATTGGTCGTCCTCTTCGTGGTGTATTTTGAATATTTTTCGTCTCACAAGCGGCATTTAGAACGTTCGCCAGCGTGCCGCCTTCTTGGTGCATCTGCCTGACACCTCTCTCTTTACTTTCACTCGCCGCAAATACGTCACACGGTTGGACGTCGGTGTGCTTCGTAGCTCCGAACCACGTCCTGAACCCCACCCGCCCACCAAGCAACCAGGCCAGCCCAACTAACCCAACCACACATCGGGGGGGGCGCGAGCTAGCATGATGCGACTTCGACTTCGGTCCGCACCCGCCATCCAACGGTGCGAACGGCTTTCGCCTCTCTCCCATCGCCATCTTGGTCTCGTGGAGCCCCAACCCCAGGCAACTCACAAGCACTTCATTTTTTCGGCCCTATGGTCCGATCAATATTTCCGTTCCATGTTTTTTTCAATATACTCTCTTTTTTCGGGTAAGTCAGCTTGTGTATGGACGGTTGAAGGTACTGGCTAGTGAGATCGGAGAAGGGTTTAACGTGAAGACAATCACAACAAAAAAACAAGCAACTATGAGCCCTCAAGCCACCCGAGCACCTCACTACATACCAGGTCGGATCAACACACTACGTACCAACTACCACTGGTATGTGAAACCTGTGACACACGAAGGTCCATCGCACCTGAGCGTCTCGAGCTCGATCTCCAACTCCACCCGCCGGGACGCCTCTTCCTTGGCCTTGGCCTTGGCTCCCATAACCTCCGCCTCCAGGTTTTCCAGCTCACGCCGTAGCGATGCGATAACCTGTTGCCAATGATCGAAAGGGTTGTGTGTGCGATCGAAAGGCGCCATAGTTCCTGGGGGGCAAGAGCCACAGACCAATTTATGTGGGTCCATTGCACAACAAGTTTGGGGCAAACGCAGCGCAGGGTGGTGGGCGAGAGCTCACATCGGGGGTGGTGGATACTTAGTGCTGAATAGCTCAAACCATGCACCGGTAGGATATTTCTTGTCTGAGGCGCGGGAGGAGGGTAGGCGTGCCCCACGCCATCTTGCTTTCGCTGTCACGACGCGCAAGTCGCCCACAGACACGTCTCTTATGCAAAACATTCTTCACTCTCATAACCACTACCAACGACAGCAACAAAAAATGTTTCCGAATCTCCGGCCACGTTGGTGCGGGTGAGGTGCGGACCATCGCCCTTCTGCGACATACATCCGCACGCGGAAGACCGACATGGCGTTTAGTTGGCCCAGGACCGCCGCATTCCCCTGCACTCCATCCCGCATCAGCCAATGCATCTCCACGACGCAATCGCTGACGCGGGTTGGGGTGCACGGGGGAATGCGACGACCCTGAACCAACTCTACGCCATGTCGGGCTTCCGCGTGCGGATGTACTAGCGCAGGAGGCGATGATCCGCACTTCCCCCACACCGACGTTGCCGAGCATTTGCAGACGTTAGTCAGTCGTTGCCCCAGGCGCTTGATACTGATACCGAGCAACAGCAGCCGCCAGGAATAAAAAAGAGGGATCTCCTTCGGCCTGTTCGTACCCCCGTGAAGGTTGCTTGCACACGAGCCCGCTGTAATTTTTTTGTCTGTCTGGGGTGCTGGTTGCAATTTCGTTGTCTTTGTCTTTCGGACCACAACACCAAGGGCTGCGACTTCTATGGCACGAATGAAGCACCAAACATCCCGACAACAAACGAGGCTTGCAAGGCCTGCATAGGACTCCATCCAAGAAGAGTCCAAACGGCCAACAGCAGGTGAACATTGTATATGTAGAGAGCAAAAGGTGCCCACAGTATAGAGTTTCACAACCATAACTGTGGCTGAGGTGGTTCAGTAGGTGACCTCGCAACGGTCTGACGTGAGGACGTGGAATCGATTCTTGGTGCAGTCTGGGACGTACAATATTCTCACAGCATGCCCAAACGAACGTGGCGTGTGTGCAAACAAATTCGACCTTCACAGTCGACGAGGGGACGGAACGGCTGAGTCCTTGTCGCGATAAAAAATAAAGGCAAGCAAAAGGGACGTCCAGAACAATCGGGCTGCAAACAAACAAAAAAAAGGCAGAATAACACAGGTCTATCGCAATCGCACGAAGAACCTCAAGACCATCAACATCAACATGGCAATTACGACGCCGGCAGGTTCGGCGGGTCGGGAATGGGGGCGCGCGCGCGCGCTGGGGGGGGGGGACGGTGGNGTTCGGCGGGTCGGGAATGGGGGCGCGCGCGCGCGCTGGGGGGGGCGTACGGTGGTAAGTGGGGGGGGCGGGGGGCGGTATGGGAGGTGGAGCCTCACTCGACTTGCGTTATCCCCAACAGCGTACTCGCGAACAGCGCAACGGGCGTCCCGCAGCAGCGCTCGCGATTCGTGGTTCACCGCCATCGCGTCGGGCCGTTGGCCGTTCTTGTCCTGGAAAGTAATTGTTCCGAGACGGGAGAGCCCAGAGTGCGTGCGGAGCGACCAGCGGGGGGGGGGGGGGGGGG